TTTACAAATACAAAATTCAAAATTACTTGAAGCTCTTCTCTATTTAAACCTACTCTCCTCAATCCAACAAAGACACAAACCAAATCTAAATTATTACATTTTTTTATCATCGTTACATCTTTTATTGCCCTAAAATTCTTGCAAAGTATATTATATAAAACACACTAAAAAAACTCCCAAAGAAGATGAATAGTAACAACAACCCAAATTGTGTCAACATGTCATTTATGCTTCAAAACATCATTCCTAACGACGGCGACATTTTCTCCCGGCGTTGCATTTGGGTGAACGGTCCGGTCATCGTCGGTGCTGGCCCATCGGGCCTAGCTGTTGCGTCCGGTTTGAAACGTCAAGAAGTTCCGTTCATAATCCTCGAGCGAGCTAATTGCATTGCCTCTCTATGGCAAAACAGAACGTACAATCGTCTCAAGATTCATCTCCCCAAGCAATTCTGTCAATTACCCAATTTACCCTTCCCGGAGTATCCAACGAAGTATCAGTTTATTGAGTAACTTGAGTCCTACGCAACACACTTTGATATCCACCCGAAGTTCAATGAGACGGTCCAGTCAGCTAAATTCGACGAGAGGTTCGGGCTGTGGCGTGTCAAGACCGTTTCAAGTAGCGGGATGCTCGGTTTTTGTGAGTTTGAGTATATTTGCAGGTGGCGACCGGAGAGAATGCTGAGAAAGTGGTTCCGGAGTTTGAAGGTTTAGAAGATTTTGGTGGTGATGTTCTTCACTCTGGTGACTATAAATCGGGTGAGAGGTACCGTGGAAAACGAGTTTTGGTAGTCGGATGTGGAAACTCCGGCATGGAAGTCTCTCTTGATCTATGCAACCACGATGCGAGACCATCAATGGTCGTTCGTAGCTATGTAAGTAGAGAAATTCAGTTTAAAAACCTCCCAAGTCCGAAAAACAGAGCATCTGATTCTCACTTAGTTCCTCTGTTTTAAAACCAGAGCATTTTATTCCTCTGTTCTAAAAACAGAACATCTGATAGTTATACTCTGTTTTTATCTGATTGATCAGGTTCATGTATTGCCGAGAGACATTCTTGAAATGTCGACATTCAAAATAGGTGTAACAATGATGAAATGGATGCCGGTTTGGCTCGTCGATAAGTCTCTGCTACTTCTCACGAGGTTACTCCTGGGAAACACCGATAAGTACGGGCTTAAGAGACCTGAAATTGGACCGTTAGAGCTGAAGAACACCACCGGTAAAACTCCAGTGCTAGACGTCGGAACATTCTCAAAAATCAAATCGGGAAAGATCAAAATCATCCCGGGAATCGTTAAGTTTGGTCCAGGAAAGGTCGAACTTGTGGATGGTCGGGTTCTAGAGATCGATTCCGTCCTTCTTGCTACTGGTTACAGAAGCAATGTTCCTTCATGGCTTAAGGTTAGACAAAGAAAAAACATTCCTTTTCAGATTTTTTCTCAAAAAGAACAAATCTTGATTCATATGTTCTTGCCTTCTTGGAACAGAAAACCGGTAATGACAGTTAGGTGGTTTATTGATATGCAGGATAACGACTTGGAGGAGATCAGAAAAGAGAAAAACCCGTTTCCAAAAGGGTGGAAAGGAGAGGCCGGATTGTATGCAGTCGGGTTCACGAGAAAAGGACTCTCGGGTGCCTCGCTCGATGCGATGAGTGTAGCTCATGATATTGCGAATAGCTGGAAAGAAGAAACTAAGCAACAGATTAAAACTGTCGCTGCTCGTCACCGTCGTTGTATCTCACACTTTTGATCTTTTACTTTATTAGTGTTTTTGTAATGTGAAAAATCAAAGAGATAAGCCCACTTCATGGAAGAAAAACCCAAAGAAGAAATAATTGTGAAAAAAGAAGAAACACAGTTCGGGTGTTTACTTTCTTGTAAGGGAGATGTGGCTTTCCATTTTTATACCAAGTTTTCTTTTACATTTGAACTGATCTTTTGTTGTGTGTTTGATGATTACCCGAATGGTCGAATAATGAAATCGTTTTACTACTTCGTTGGAACGAAAGATCAAGAACTGACTTAGAAAGTTTAAAACTTGATTAGACAAAAGACGAAAAATATGAACAAGATCCATGTCGAAAACTCATATAGCCATTGACAGAAACAGAGGGTGTGAACAAATTACAAAAGAATCTGTTCCTCAATACAGCCAATAAAATGAACTGTGTATGTATCATTCTCTTATTATATGATGGAAAAAAAGAGAGAAAAGAAACACAGACTTATCATGGTTCTACAATGCTTACACACATTCATCATCATCAAAAGGAGCCATTGTTTAATATTACCAGACATCAGGACGAAGCTCTCCTGTAGCTGGAGGCATCCAACGACCAGAATTGTACACGTTTTCACCGACTTTCCATCCAGGAACATCCTTCATCACATCCGCCTCATACTCTAAATACTTCTTCCACTCAGATACAAACCTATTTACAAATCAACACAATGGGATAACAATGTTGGACTTTGTACCACAAGACTTGTTTTGTTTAAATAATCGATAAGTTTTCTCTTTACCTTTCATCTTCTTCTGCTTGAAGAATCGGTAGAATAGCTCTACGAGCAGCGTATTTCTCTTCCTTCAACGCTCTATCATCACAACAATCCTAATTAAAATTTTGGTGTTGATACATTCTCTCATTTGTTCATCATTATGCAATCGAGTTTCCAACCATAGATGACTAATAGAGGATGTACACAACAAGAAAGATAACACTGTAAGCTACGCAAAATCGACACTAATCAGGTTATTACTCACAATCTAACCACCTTCCAATTCGATTGCGTTCTTCATCACAGCTCAACGGATCGTTCATGTTCATTACCTATAACCAATTTGAGACTAATACACAAATTGAGAAGTCTCTTGAGGTTCTTAATGCCCAGAAAATTGCAAATTTTTCAATCCAAAATTACCCAAAAACTTCGTCATCCTTCACATTTCAGACATTTCACAGGATTCGATTGATAAATGTGAGCGAGAGCTATGTACATCTCTCGTTTTTTCTTACCTGCGGATTTTGTTTCCTTGGCCGACTTGGTACATCCCCCAAGCAAAAGCACCTGAAACCGCAAGGAACATCGCCATGGCGCTTGGACCCGTATTGGAGATCCGACGAGCATATCGGACCGGCGGGAACCCACCCGGTGGTGGACCATCTTGAAGCAAAGGCATATCTTTCACACTCACCATTCCTGGCTTCTTCCTAATCATCGCCTCCGTCATCTTCAACCTCTGTTACTAGCTTTGATCTCCCAAAATCGGATCTTTGATTCGTTGATCGAGTGTTCTAGGGATTCTGACTTCTGAGGAAGACGATCAGAAATGTTTTTTTTTTTTGTGAAATATTTTAATGTTTTTACGGTAACAATTAAATGGGCTTTTGAAAGGCCCATAATCTAAACTTCCCGGGTCAAACTCGAGTCGGATCCAAATCGGGTATTAAATCTCAACCAAAGCAATGACCTTGGAGAAAACGTAAAACCCTAAACCCTACTGCTTCTAGAATCTTCTTTGCTCTGTATACATTTCTCTTATTTCTGCGAGTGCGAGAAATAGTTCAAGTCAGCTTCTTTAGTTCGATCTATTGTAATCTTCTCGGTTCAGTAAGAATCTTATCATCATGTATCGTCTTGTCACCAACATTGCTTCAAAAGCTAGGTAAGTAGATCTACTCGGCTTTCTGGGTTTTCTATGTAGATCCGATTTTATTTGCTGCTTTTTTTGTGTGATTTTGTTTCTGATTGGTTTCTCGGTGATCGGAAAGTTGTGAGAAACTGATTTGGATTGGTAAACTGAGTTCAGTTCTGATTTTGCGAGTTTTTGATCTGAGTAAATTTGGATTTTTCTCGATTGCTGTTTCCAAAAGTTTCTTTCTTTTATTGATGGGGTTTTACCTTTCTTTGTTTTGACAGGGTTGCTAGAAGTTGTACAAGCCAGGTTCGTGTTCTTCATCTTGTATCTAGTTCTGCTGTTTAATCCGTTTTGGGTGTATGTATTGATGTGTATTCTGTGTATTGTTAGATTGGAAGCAGGCTCAATTCTACAAGGAATTATGCAGCAAAAGACATAAAGTTCGGTGTTGAAGCTCGGGCTTTAATGCTTAGAGGTGTTGAGGAGCTTGCTGATGCTGTTAGAGTCACTATGGGACCAAAGGTATAAGCTTATCTTTCAGATAGTTTCTGTTCATGAGATTGATATTGCAAGTGATTCTAGTATCAACAATTGTATGTTCTAGAGTTGCAACAGTCTTAAACCGTTTTCTAATTTTTTCCTTACCTTTTGAAGGGCCGTAATGTCATCATCGAACAAAGTTGGGGTGCGCCCAAGGTGACAAAGGATGGTGTTACTGTTGCCAAGAGCATTGAGTTTAAGGACAGAGTTAAGAACGTTGGTGCCAGTCTTGTCAAACAGGTTGCTAACGCCACAAATGACGTAGCTGGTGATGGTAAGGGTTCCCTTTCTTTGTGTTAGAACTTTTTTTTGTCTTTGGTAATTGGGTTGTTTGTCTCGTACCTAATCATATTAATCGTATGGTATGTTTTACAGGAACAACTTGTGCTACAGTCCTTACTCGAGCTATCTTCACGGAAGGTTGTAAATCAGTTGCCGCTGGAATGAATGCAATGGACCTAAGGCGTGGTATCAAAATGGCAGTTGATTCTGTTGTGACGAACTTGAAGAGCCGAGCACGCATGATTAGCACTTCTGAAGAAATTGCCCAAGTTGGAACAATATCAGCCAATGGGGATAGAGAAATTGGTGAACTGATTGCAAAGGCTATGGAAACTGTGGGCAAAGAGGGAGTAATCACAATTCAAGTGAGTTTGAATCTGATACCTAACTGTTGAGTCTTTTTGCTTATTTCCTATGGTGACTTATGCAGTGATTTCTTGATACAGGATGGCAAGACCTTGTTTAACGAGCTGGAAGTTGTTGAGGGTATGAAGTTTGACAGGGGATACATCTCCCCGTACTTCATAACAAACCAGAAAAACCAAAAATGTGTAAGGATCCCACCTTGTTGCTTTATGAATTTTACGAAC